TATTATCAGGGCCTAACCTTATTATGCACTTATATATTATGGATAATATTTGTCCCTAAAAGTTATCTAGTTAGTCAGTTCAATATTATCTTATTATTGGCTCCATATAGGGAGAATCCTTGCATCATTTAGCTGAAAAGTCCTTAAGTTAAAGTAAGAACTTATATATAATACTTTATTATAATTAAGAGATCTTAGTAGAGTATATATATATTATAATATATAAGTGCATAGTAAGGTTAGGCCCTAATAATACATAAATAATAGAAATATTAATAAGGAATAATTAATAAATAGTTAAGTTAATGATATAAAGAGAAACTATATATCTAATAATAGGTATCTATATATTTCTTATAGTTAATATACCCCTTTAGTATTAACTAGATTATTAATATTATAATTCTTTATAAGATTAATTATATCTAGCATCTTAATAAATCTCTAATAATTTAGGCTATTAAGGGCCTTAGTAAAGCTGTCTATAAGTATCTAGGTTATTAGTATCTAGATAATTTTTAGTTTCTCATCTTATACTTCCTAATAAAGTTAATATTAATAAATATTAATATATCTAAGCTATATCTATAGGAGCGGATCATCTTTAACTAGAAGATTAACTATTTATTAATTATTATATAAGATTATAAGCTTATATTTAGGATTAAATTTAATACTATTAAATAGGTATTTCTACTAGAAGAGGTCCTTATTAGTATATAATATAGCTAGACTGGCTAAACCCGACCCGCGGGTCGGGTTTAGGGCACTAGATTTGTAACCTGCTGGGTTTCCGGGTATGCCTAGGGTAAACCCATACCCACCCATAGGTAGACTGGCTATACCCGACCCGGAGAACCCGACCCAACCCGACCCGACCCGCACCCGGGTCGGGTATGGGTTTAGGGTTTAGAACCCATGGGTATACCCATCAGGTGTCATACCCACCCATTGGGTATGGGTATACCCGTCGGGTTTAGGGTTTCTCACGTGACTAGTTTTAAACCAATTAAATCTTTAGATATTCACTTTTTTATTAATAATAAATATATAGATTTCCAACCCTAACCCTATTAGGAAGGTGATTAGCCTATTTAGGTAATCTAAGGTATGTAAAATCACGTGCCGGGTACCCACGGGTTACCCAATTAAAACCCGCCATACCCATGGGTGGGTATGGGTTTGCCCTAGGCATACCCGGAAACCCGGCGGGTTAGGAATCTAGTGCCCCAAACCCGACCCGCGGGTCGGGTTTAGCCAGTCTACCCATAGGTATAGCAGGTTTTAGTTGGGTAACCCATAGGTACCTGGCACATGATGCTAAGCCTATAATTATTACCTAGATAAGTTAGTATAGATTAGGTTTTACCTATACCTATACCTACTTAAGGCCTATAGAAGGATTTACTTGTAAGCAGTGACCTCGCACTGCTGTAGGGGGTAGTTAGATGTCGGTACGACTGGGCAACAGCAAGGTCTAGGGATATAAGGAGTCTATAGTAGGTCTAATAAGAGAATAAGACAAAGTACTTAAGGTTCTATTATTAATTAGGGGGGGTGGTATATATCCTAACTCTAAGTGAGTTGCTTGGCGGGTGCCCGACTGGTGCCCAACATTAACTATCTATCATAGGGTATGCTTAGTTAGATAGGTTGTAGGGCGGCGTTGGTGCTGGCCTTACATTACTCTACCTTCTATATATTTAAGCTAAAGCTATACTATTAGTATAATAGTTATAATAAGCCCCTGCCATAGCTAATTAAAGTAAAAGATAAGGAGGAGTAAGAAGTAGATAAAATCTTAAACCACTAAATTAATAAGAATAAAGAGATATAATACTTAATTATATAAAAAAGATACTTATTATATAAGGTATCCTAGTAGTCTAGGAAAGACCTAAAGAATACTTAAGAGATGTTAAAAGACTTCTTAAAATAAAACTCTCCTTTAAAGTCTATACCCTAATAAGGGTGTCCTAAATAAACCTAAAGTTTTTTCTCACTAGGTTTTCTTTAGGTATTATAGATATTAAGTTAATAAAAACTTATCTACTTATTAGTATAAACCTTCCTCTTTTTTCCTATAGGTTTAAAGGTTTACTAATAATATCTTAATAAAATTATTTATAATTAAAGAAAATTACTATTATAAGGGCAATTATTATTTATACTAAAGAAACTTTAAGTTAATATCTTTTTAATTTATAACTTATTATTTAGTAGATTCTTTATCTCCTCTATAGCTACTATAAGCTCTTAAACTACTACTATAATATCTTATAAAATAATTAAAAGTAGCTAAAATATAGATATTAATATTATTAAGGTAGAAGCTACTAAAGTTATATTAATAATAAAGAATTAACTTACTATTACCACTAATTAGAGTTAATACTAATAAGTATCTATATTAGCCTTTTAAATATAAATATTTAATTAAAAGATAACTACTATAACTATATTTAAAATATTAAGTATAATAAAGACTCTATAAAGATATTATACTTCCTAATTAAAGGTATTACCTTAGGTATAGTCTATTATATAGGTAGTATTACTTATAGCATAATAAAGATACTAGGCGCTTATTAATATAGAATAAATATACTAGATAGAGTACTCTATATCTATAATATTAATATAGTATATATATTAAAGCTAATTAAAAGTATTAAATACACCTCCCTAAATAAGGGTAGCTATATATATATTTATATCTTAAGTAGCCTTTATAATCTTAAACTTAACTAGCTTTAGGCTAGGGGTGAAACAGCTACTATAGATAGACTTAAATAAGTTATTAAAAAACTAGATATAATAAGTAGAGGGTATCTTCTTAAGAATTTTATTATTAAGAAGAGTAGCCTCTTAAGTTAAGTAAACTAAAAAAAGATTATTTATCTCCTCTAAGTTATTATTAAATAAATATAATATTAAGGTTAAGAAAATAAAATAAAGGGTAAAATAAGATATTACCTTCTTATTATTAGTAGCTACTACACACTAAAATTATTAAAAAATAATAAATTAATAAGAAGTAAGTATTTATCTTATAGGTTATTATTATATACTACTAAAAGATTAATAAAATAAGGGAATAGTTATTAAGATAACTTATTAAAGTATAGATAAGAAGGAATTAAACTTATTTCACCTAATTAGCTCCTAATATCTCACTATTATTAAGGAAAAGGGGCTATATATATTAAGGGACCTTATTAGAAAGCTAAAGAATAAGAATTAAATTATATAAAATAATAGTATTTATATCTTAGTATTTAATAAATATAGACCTTATTTTATTTACTTAACCTATAGGAATACCCCCCCTTAATATATTTAACTCTTATATATATTCTTTATTTCTTTATTAATAAACTCTTATATCTAATACTATATCTATATAGTATCTAATTAAAGTTTACTTATAAAAATAGCTATTCTTTATTTATTTTTATAACAGCTTAGGGCTAAGCCTCTTAAAGGGGGGGAATAATTATAAGGCTAGTACTAATGCCGCCCTATAAATCATCTAATTAAGTATACTATATAACTATTAATTAATATTAGGTATTAATTAGGCACCTATTAAGTATCTTATTTAAAGTTAAGATATATATTATCTCCTCTAGATAGAATAGAACCTTAAGTACTTTATCTTATTCTCTTATTAGACCTTCTATAGACTTCTTATATCCCTAGACCTTACTGTTACCCAGTTGTACTGACATCCCACCTATCAACCCCAAGCAGTGCAAGGTTATTGCTTACACTATATCTAAATATCTATTAATAATATCTTTAATTTTATTAACCTAAATAGGGAGTTTATCCTTTACTTTATCTATAAGGATGATAGTTGCAGCGCAGGGTCCTATATAGGTTCTAGCATAAAGATTAGTAGTATTATAGCTCTTAATAAGATTCTAAATAAATTCTTTAATTATTAAATAATTTAAATAATATATCTTAATTAGTTTCCTAAAGTTGTAAGAGGCCTAATAAACACCTGTTCCTTTAATACTTATTAAGATAGTATAATAGAAATTATCTATATATACCTATAGTAATATAGATATCTTAACCTCACTTTAAATATTCTTATTAATTAATAGTACTAGCTAGAGCTTCACGCGTCATGATATATAATCTTATTTATTAAATTTATAGGAATTCTCTGCTGGTCTAGGTATATCTTTATAAATAATATTCTTTAGGTTATTAACTTTAAGAACCTATTAGATGTAGTCCTCCTAGTATTTAATATTCTCTTTGCCTTATAACTTCTTAATAGTATCTAGAATAAGCTGACCATCTATAATTTTAGTTGCCTAATTAACACCTTTAATCATTAATATAGCTATTACTTATTAGGTGAATCTTTAATTAATTCTATCCCTATTATATAGGCCTGTTAACATCTGATTTGTTAATTAGGTAGGTATGGATTTTTTAAATTCAATTATTATTGGTCTTTTAAACATGTTTGGCCCTAGGGGAACTGCTTATATCACCTATATCACCTGTTATTTTGCAGACATCAATATCGTTTAAATAAGATCTTAAATAAATAAGAATTTATTAAATATAGTATACTCTATCTTTTTAAACAATATGCTACCATGTTGGCTTTATAGGCCTAGAAAAGGGAAGAGATGGCTAATGGTTGCTATTGCTACTACAGCTTAGACGTAAAGCAGGTGGTTGTGTGGTGCGGCCGCGCCAAACGAGGCGACGCTAAGCCTAATCAGGCATGCACCTCTGACATTTTATATACCTTAGATTACCTAAATAGGCTAATCACCTTCCTAATAGGGTTAGGCTTAGAAATCTATATATTTATTATTAATAAAAAAATGAATATCTAAAGATTTAATTAGTTTAAAACTAGTTACATGAGAAACCCTAAACTAGAAACTACGTGGATGAGTCATACGCGGGACTACCACATTCGGCTCCCCTTTATCCAGCTATACCTCTCTGCTTGAGGCCCATACTGTACAAAGTTAAGATGGGCCTCTGTTTCTCTAATATTGCTATGAGGAACAAGAATTACCCGAACATTCCAGATCACAATGTTTCTCACTACCTGGTTTTGTTTGGCGACTATCGGCGCGTCGCAGATGGCGAATTTATTACTGCCAGGTTTTCAAGGGCGTTCACTTGAAGCTAGTATCAAAGAGAGGGTATGTATACGGAAGGCTCTTATTGATTAAATTTGTGGGAACACACTAAAGTTATAAGAATCTAAATATCACAACTTATATTGTGGTCTGCCCGAAGACTATAAGACCATCAGAGTGTGGCATACCCGGGGAGGGCATGACTGTCATCGCTGCGCCGACATTCGCAGAGTTGAGGCATTCAAATAACGTCAACAAGTGAGAGATCTTCTTCGCCAATCTGTACGCGGTTTCTAAAGAATATGACTGCTATAGCACCGCATCTTTATCCTGCGAAATTGATGGAACAACCTACGCATCCTGCCATGCACGCCAAACAATCTCTGTACAGGCTACGTTAGCACCGAAAGACCTGAATTGGATGGATATACCGGTCATTTCAACGACCGAGGAGACTATATTTGCTCCTTCATCTTTACCAACTGGGATAGCGAGCATAATAACCACAGACATGTCATCGGTCCCCCGTCCAACCGCCATGCAGGAGCCAACCGCCGAAAACATTGGACCCTCTATAAATGTTTTGTCTCAGGCGTTATATCGTATTTTAGCTTCGATGGTGTTGCTTTCTATGGGTTATATACTATCGCTCGCTTTTCTGGATTGAGAAATTACTCCGATCTTATCTAGTGGCCTATAATCGCGCCGACACTCCGGACTAAGTTGAAAATCTGACTTCCGGGGTGTTGTTTCTACGATCTGAAAATGCATATAGCTATTAATTGATTTCAAAAACACAAATATTCTCTTCCTTTGCCCACAGGATTCACAAGTCATTGTTTGTTTACCGTACAGTCGTGCTTATTCCTCTACTGCAAATACTACTGATCCAACAAAAACGACATAAAGATTTGTATGTAACTAAATAGGGGCTCCTTAATCCGTCAACAGATTATGTCTCGCACATCTGACTTTCGATCCCGTCCTTGTCCCTAACCTCCTATCCTTCAGTAACTTGCAAGTGGTAATGCGGCACTGCCAGCGAGATGGAGATATATCTCTTGGGTATCGCTCACGACTCTATGGATTTTCTGGAACTCACGGTTGTGGACCCAGAAGTTCCATTCCTTCTTAATCCAGGAGGTCTTCCTATCAAGAAAAACCTGCAGATCCTTGACTTGGAGAACCAGACTCATCTCCTCTTCGAACGAGGTGCATCCCATGATTGCCAAACAAGACTGACAGAATGTGTATATGTTGATGTGTCGCTTAGCAGGAAGAATGTGAGACCACATGATTATAAAAGAAGATCCCGGATCATAGGGGACAAATTTGATGTTCAACTTCTGGTTCCCAGAGATTGTGCATGAGGCACATGACCAGAATACCCTTCCCTTCATTCTAAGATTTATTAGATATCCCTTGCCAATCTCCACATCGTTTTGCGACTCACCTTCACAGTGTTTATTGAAATGGACTGTAGGGTACTTTGAATGCAGCAAGAGTGAGATGGAAGGATGGTGTTGAAGTACAATAAGAATGGCCTGAATATATGCATAGCAACTAGGTCTCTATAGGGACTAGCGTGCTCTAGGATTCTAAGACATAGTCGCACAGGTGGGGCGCGATCATTTCGACTGTATTATCCGCTAGCTATTAAGCACACCCAGAATACAACTGGAGGCGATATATAATATACAAGAGATAAATATCTGACTTCAAACCCTTTGAGTAGCAAATAGCAAAGGGAATCCGGACAACCATCAAATGAAATGACGACTCTAACAGACCTCCCATTTCAAATCTTAGAGCTCATTGCATCTAATTTGAGCGAATTCACAATCAAGTCATTCTCCCTGGTAAGTAAGAAATGCAGAGCAGTGAGCGAACCCGAAATTTTCCGAACAATCAAGATTACATACTCGGAGTTTGACTTCAATATGCTAGAGGAATTATCAAAGTCTCCTCTAGCAGCATACGTGAAGATCCTCCATTATGATGTCTCGGAGCTATTTGATCCCGGTATGTGACACATACGCGAAATGAATCCTGTCTTTTATTCTAACATCCACAGTCATCCAGGATTGGGATTATTTTACCTCTTGCGTATATACGCCACAGGAGTATGCAAAAGACTATACGGACTTTTGTTGGAATCTCAGAGGCAACGGCTTTGCTTATAAAGCAATTTACACCTATTTTCAACGCCTGATTGCCGATCAGCAGGCTATCATGGAGGAAAGAAAAGATATCCACGCATTTATGGAAAGCCTTCCACGCCTCATAGACCTAAAGTGCATCAAGTTGTCATTTACTGGGGAGCACGAGAATCAGCTACTGTGGTTTTCAAATCGATTATTTGTTGACAGCTGGCACTCCTTTGCTGTCCACTTTGAAGCAGTTTTGAGAGGTATGATATCAGCGAAGTGGAATGGGCTGACTATTCAGTCTTTGGAGATACATGGGATGCCTTTCAGATCAGCCCATGAATCTTCGAATATTTTGGAGATTGCGGAACAAGGGCTGGCTCTCGTCAGAAACTTCAAGTTAGTGAACAGCCCGGGCTTATTGGATTTGATGTCTGCTGTGACTTTGCCGTGCCTACAGAGATTTGAAATCACAGACTGTTGGCTCCTGGGCTCTAAGTTAATTCGGTTCCTAGAAGCTCATGATGGGATTGTGCAGCATGTGGAGTTCTATAGAATAAACCTGTTCTATGAAAGATTCACCCCAGGCACTCGCTCATCAAGTTGTGCAAGAACATTTTGGGAACTTGTCACTGAGACCGGAAATACTGTTAAGGTGGAAAGCCTCGTGATCACACCAATTTAATGTAAATTATACTACTAGCCTGAGGGTACAGTATCTGTCCTATTTTACATGGAAATATCAATAGCATTAAAGCTAGTCGTATTCTTTTTCAGGAAAGTGACAAGACTGTCGACTGAGAAAATTGGACTAGACCTAAAACGACCGATGGGCTGGTTTCCAACCATATATATATAGCCAGTAACCCTTTCGCTACTCTCACTTACAAACAATATGGACAGACAAAATTCATCATTCGGAAATAAGAAGCGGGCTGATTGGAGGGCTACTTGCAGGGAGCGTCTTTCTCAGCATATTTGTTATTTACCCTTCTCAACTCCGTTTGATTTCCTCTCTGACGCCGAATCTAGTGGAAACGCTTGATATCGAAGTGCAACCATCTGATGTGCGATTAAAACCAGAAGAAGACATGCCCTACAAATGGCAGATAGACGATCCGGCTCTTGAGCCATTGTTCCAAAAGCATCTAAGCAAACATTCAGTTGGGACTTACATGCTGCTTCACAGGAGGGTGGGCCAGACCTTCCATGCGGTCCGACCGGAGAAGGTATTTAATCACCCTTTATACTGCAATTCGGAAGGGCTAAACATCCCAGATCGTGAAAAAGCAGGAAGAGCTGGATCTTATTGCAAAACTACAAGTTGAGAATTTTGGCCTCGCTGAAAAATTAAGACTAGCCGAAGAAAAAGCCCATGAAAACGAGCTGGCTGTGGTAGAGGCAAAAGATGAGATCAACTCTCAACGGTCTATAATAGAGAAAGCCAAGGTTGCTTTACACCGCCACGAGCAGGACATGTTGGATTTGAGGTCTCTTTGTGAATGGTACCAGTCCAAGTGTCTCCAGTGCTCTAGCGTGCTGGGCCAGATGATGGCATTTTTGCAAGGTACTACGGATCCTACGTCAGAGATTGGTACTTGGCCTCCTACTCAAGGCCAAGGAGATATTTAGCTTCCCCGCGGGAGTTTATTGCGAGGCAGGAGAATAACAATGAAGCAAATTTTCTCAGAGCTTGATAGCGCACACTATCTACAGTATAGCTTTATTACAGGTATTCTCGAGATCGCCTTGACCAGTACGTACTGAGCCAAACGTCTCTGTAGCGACCACCATCAGTGTGCACCGGTCAAGACGATTTCGAGAATAGCCATATACATCTATAGATCTAACAATTTCGATGATGGAGTAGTGTTGACTGATACCTTTTTGGTCCTGCGACATTCTTTGGGTCCTGCAACATCCTTTTGGTCCTGCGACATCCTTTTGGTCCTGCGACATCCTTTTGGTCCTGTATCACTCTTCTAAGGCTACGCGGAAAGGGCTATATCCTAGGAATTCCGAATAAAAAATTATAACAGTCCTTTAGTCCCACAAATCATATTATATTCCTCTCAAACCTCCAGATTTAAGAACCCAATCAATCATGCCCAAGAAAAAAAGCAAAAAGGCCCCAAAGGCCAAGAGAAATGCACGAGACATCCAAACACCTTTTTCCGACAGAGAGAACTCTGAAAGGGCAGAACCAAAGCAGATAACGGACCACAGAGGTATGTGCCTATTGCCTATTCAATTTACCTTTCTAATTTATAACTATACGCAGCTGAATCTAGTCATAATAAAAAAGGCAAGAAGGTCGATATAACGAGGAGCCCAACTCGAGAGGGAGACTTTGCATCAAATGCAAGCGGCTATGATTCAGGTGACGCAACAGATCCGGAATTGTACGATGCTTCCGACCAGGATGGGCCAAGTGAGGAGCAGCCAGACCCTCTTAGCTCTTGGGTGAAGGACATTATTAGAAGTCAAACATTAGAACAGTCAGAAAAAATGGTCGAAAGCTTTTTTACGACCGACAATCCAGATTACGCCGCCTGCGAAGCGTTCTTTGATAGGCTTAATCAGCTTATCAGAGGTGCCAATGAGCAGCACAATGTCACAGATATTGATGTTGGTATCATTCCTGCAACCGGTTATAATGGCTTATGCCAGGCTTGGCAGGAAGCGGGCAAAAAAGCTATTGCAGACCAATCTCCGGAGAACTTCTGGTCTGCCTTTAATGAAACCCGCGATGTTCTGAAAATTTTCAACAAAAGGTATCATCTTCCACGAGCCTGGAATATCAGCAAAGAATGGGCAGAGAAACGTATTGGGACACCGAACCCGAGAGCTGAAACAGAATCCGGGTCGAGTGACGACGGTCAATCCATCCTGGCTGGTCAGCCCGCAACGAGCAATGAAGACATCGATATGAACTCCACCGATATGAACTCCGATGACAATGGCGGCACGGGCCTTGACGCCTTGGAAGCGAGAACCATGAAGCAGCAACGCCGACTGACATCTGCAAAAGTCTTATACTGGTGGCCTAAAGGTACTGGGTCTCAAACTTTTGTGCAATATGGAGATAGTACGACACCGATTTATCGTATTAGGGCGGGATCTCACGAGAGCTACAGTCCTCATATGGTTGAACGTGTGCTAACCACAAAAACACGTGGCAACGCCAAAGGAACTAGGACTCGAAATGGCATACCAGAGGAATTTTGGAAATACAAGCGCGAACATGTGGCGAATATCCTTGGAGTTGGTTGGAAGATCGAAGATGATGATGAGGAGGGCCTCAATCCACTCGATCTACTGCAGCCTGCAAAGGGTGCATACTATCCACAAACACGCACTCTCGTGGAATGGACAGATGGTGTGATTACATTAGAAGGACGTCCATTCATTCGGCGTATCACTACTGGTTCGACCCTAGACGGTGACCGAGTGATATATCAGAAAGCTAAGGAGCTTGAGACGGCTTACCGCAAGAAAGCCGGGCTAGAATCCTTCGTCGACGACGACTACGATGAGGACAGCGATGCAAGCTTCGGTCGCGGAAGAAGATACCGAAGTGAGCCTACACGTTACTCGAAGCAGGTCAACATGAAGGCTAGAAATCGCTTCCGCCATGGAACTAGTGAAAGCAGTGGCTCTGAAAGTGAGGATGTCGCACGGCCACGTAACAGCGGGTACACTAGACATCGCAGTGAGTCTGATTATCGTCCAAGCCGGCTTAGGGGCAGGAAGGGATCGGAGCGGGAACAAGATAGGGCAATGATTAGGAAACTCGAAAAGGAGATTGAGAGACTGAAGATAGGATCGTCGATATCTGGTGAAGACAGACGAAGGCCGCAGGGTAAGCGTTGAAGACTGGTGACGTGATGGTTTTCCAACCGCTGAATGTTCCCTTGTCGGCTTGCATATCGAAGTCGCTCCTTGTCTCCTATGTTGATATGCTGAGGTCGAAAGTTTGATTTTCTCTATTCACGCGTCTGTATATGAGCTGGTCTCATTTCCAAATATCAGATTGTTTATCATTCAAATTCAAAGGGTATCTCACCTAGCAAAATGGCTACAACTCAGGTCATAGATGCAAAGACTAGCTTATAGCAGTATACTCGATGTTGTTCATTTAATGAAAGAACAACGTTGATGAAAATTCTTAGTTGGGTTATAGGTAGATCAGTATGCACTAGGAAACTCGTTCTTAGCCCCACTGCTAAGACTTCAGTGCAGATCATTCTGATCGGGTCGGTAATTTGATAGGTATGTGACAGTGACAAATAACGCATTTTCAAAACTGGTTGAATGGGTATTGGCGAGTATGCATTGGAACGAGTGAGAGCTATCGGAATCTATACTCGTGGGTATTTAAAATGTGCGTCTCCACTTTTCCACCAAATACTGTATATCAATCAATCAATCAATATTCATAGACTCGATCTAACATGCTTTATATACAGGTGTTATGCGGGATTTGTAATCTTGCCTTTCCAGCGGCAGACGGGAGAAAGATGGAGGTAGAACCTGCTAACCAAACCATCGGCGAGAGGTGGTGGCTGCTAGGCGGTGAGATCTGCGCTGGGGCTTAGTGCCTAAAGCCTCCGGCCAAGATTTCGGGCCACACAGCTGGCCAGTTAGCCAAGCCACGACGGGTGAAGCGGGCCTCAGAGATCAGGCCGTCCAGCCCTGCCACCCACGTGTGGACGAAGAGTGGAGGTGCAAACGCGGCAAACAAAGCCAAACAGACAAAACCAAGGAAACAGGCCAAACGAAGGAAGGGGATTTCGCCGCCCCCGCAACCACCAAAGCCCCCCGGTTGCAGGGTGCCCACCCTTGCAAGCCCTTAGGCTGTGAGAGTTCCTCGGGATCCCACTCTGGCTGTGTCTGGGTGAGGGATCTTTCGGTGTCAGGCGAGGCAAGACTGAGAGATTGGCTCCCAGCGGCACTTGATTCGTCTCAGTCTTTTCTAGCCCTATATATTGACTTAAAGCTTCGGTCGCTGCGTGAGGCGTTGCCACATCGACCTTGGGTTGTATAAGGCTGGGCCTAATAACGAGTGAAGACGCAATCATCAATGCCGACATTAGCATTAACGGGCTATAATTTATCCGACACGCGCGTGAGACTTACTGGCTAGGGAAGTTCCCTCCTGTCTAGGAAAGTTCCCCCCCCCTATATATTACCGCCTTCTTCCGCTAGAAAATCATACCCTCCTCATCACCCAAATCTCTATTCACTCATCATATCTTTTTATAAAACCCCTCAATATCTCCTCCAAGGGCCTCTCAGATTCGATTTTTCCAAATGACGCCTTTACAAGCATTTCAAGATGTATCGGACGAGAACCGCCGAAAACGCAGAAGATAATATAAGCGGGAGCACAAAAGGCGACTAAAGAACCTTTATATCCTAGAGTCTATTTAATAGGGTCTACACAGTCTAGATATTCTGGACTTTGGCAATGACGGTATCATAGAGCTTAAGAGTTTTATATATGAGCTAGATGATAAAGCAGAATAGGCAAAATCAAGGGAGGAAGTTGTCGCAGATTTAATAAGACCTTTATAAAAACTCATGAGTCTACTTAACATAATTATATTAATACCCTTAATCTTCAAAACCGCAGACGGGTATTTTTTTCTCTTTAATGATTTATAGATGCTAAATAAATACCTTGGCAAAACCTTTAAAAAGCCACTACTTCATTAAGCCTCCCTATCCGGCAATTCTCTCTTAGGTCGACAACTAAGCTTAGATGCTGTCTAGACTCATCTATATGAGCAGCCTAATAAGATGATTAATATTTATAACTACTCTATAATAGATCCTGCTTTAAGGACATGAAGAATGACTATCTAAGATATTCTATCACATTAGAGGCTTCCTGCACACAAACGCCACGCTATCAATTTACTAGATATCAAGAACAGGATCGGGGATTTTTGCCCGACCGAAATCATCTCGCATATTGCCCGATAACGTTGGAAAGACTAATTCTCAATAGACATGCAGTCGACAAGAATTCTTCCTCCTTAGCAGAGCATACGCGATATCCTCTATCCACGTTGACAATAGAGCTCCGTTAACCTGGATTCTGGTCCTTGAAGGCCGGAAAATTTGGTATTTTCCACGTCAAGTGACAGACGACGCTATCCGATTACTGGCTCTTGCAGGCTCTCAGTGGTGCTGAGGTTATGAAGCAGGCTAGGCAAAGGTGGAGCTATGCGCTGGAGATCTTTTGTGAGTATTATCACATAGTATCATTTTATGAGTATTATCACATAGTATCAAAGCACCTCGCTTATATTTCACTTAGAGTCATGCCTCCTAGCTGCCCTCACGCAGTGTTCACTCCAGATGACTGCCTTGCTGTTGGTGGCCACTTCTATACGGCCGCACATCTTATTTCAACACTCCGTGGGCTTAGGCTTCAGGAAGATTATCCTAATATATGTAACGAAGACCTTCAAGCAGACTTCTATAATATTCTTCGAAGCTTCTTTGAGAGTGTGGAAGATTTCTGTACTCCTATACAGCAGGCTAGCATCCTAAGCTCTTCCTCTCTGTTTCTGGATGGCTTAGATGCGGCATCTTTGTCCATGCTGTTACGAAAAAATGGACGCGGCAATCGCTCCGATTGCGCGAACGATCAACAGTCCAGAGTTCTCAAACGACTGGAGTCGAGAGCTATCAACCACAACCACCTTACATCAAATCGCAACCACTTCGTGAACGCTATAGAGGACTTCCATAAACGGCTCCTGGAGAGGTGGGAGGGGGAATGATCGTGTCCCCGCCGACACCAGATGTGCTTTGATTTGATTGCTTGTGAGAATCTGTGATTCGAGAGGCGAATTAGTTAGAGAGGTTCTCATTTCATTGCTTCCTTCGTAATTTTCTACACCATCCAAATGCTTACTATCTCTCTCCCCTGTGAATTTGAAGATCAAGTTTCTGTCTACGATTTGTAGAAGGCCAGCCACTGCGCTGGTAGGGATGAGAGCGGCTTCATGGAACTCATAAACCAGTTTGTTAATAGAAGACCCATACATTTGTACCCGCGCTCCATACTCTCGTTAACACGACTTTCGTTTCATCACCCAACATACTTCTCGGTCCAATTCCCTCAGGAGACGCTCGACTAAATGCTTCACTTTCGAGACCTTGTTGGTTCGGTTCCCAAATGGATCTCTATTGACGCGTTGATATCCTCCTGAAAGACCTTTTCGTGCATACCCCAGCACTTACTATGTGAGATTTCCACTTAACCGGAGAGCCATCGGAAGTGAGATTTGTGCATTGGGGTGAAATCAATGTCAGCCACAAGATCTCAGTATGAAAGAAATGGTAGGAAAATTCATTGATTAGGGACACCTAGCATGGCAGGATCCTATATGGCAAGATCCTATATGGCAGATACGTCGTGCGGCATCGTCACTCGTTGAGATCCCTCAATCTGCAAATAAGGGGCTAAGTGCTACTGTTATGGAGGCATCGATACATTCCTCAGCGCACGCTGAGTGATGTCGAATTTCCTACCGTTGTATGCAAACCAGCGACCGAACTACATGTCAAGTCTGTTAGCATCGTTCCTATATGTGAAAACAATGATCCGACACCAGGAAGGGAGGAGGTTGATACTAACGGTTGCTGTTGCTATACGGACACCTAACCACAGGCACCTGTGCCTTCGAGGGATACCGATGGAAGGATATTCAATCACTGGCCTCTCCTCCTTCGAAGCTGTGTCTTGGAAAAAGTCGTGGGGGTAATAGAGTTGGCTCCAGGTCTGGCCACGAATGAGAAAGTCTTCCGGTAAATAACGAGCCACGCCCTCGTACCGTGGGAATGCTCTGTCTTCAATCTTTTCGAAGACTATGTCGGGGTTAATGAGGGTGTTGAGGAACCTCGCGATATCGGTCCATGGGATGAGTGTCTCTAGTCGTTGTATGGCGTTTGGACGTAGGGCTAGACACCAGATAAATGACAATGAGATATGCCCACTTGCACATACACTAGTCTCATTAAGAGAGTCGATTAGTATGGAGAGTGTGTGGAAAGAGAGAATAGCGCCTTGTAGGGCCATTGGAGGGAAATGGAAGTTAGCGGCCGTTAGACCGCGAGCGTCCTTGATCTCAGTTGCTAGATCCAAGGCTGACATTGAGATGGGTGAAGAAAGGCATGGCTCTATAGCTGTCTTGCTGTCTTTCTGAGCCATTTCCAAAGCCACAATAGCTTCAAGGTCTCCGTATTGAAGTACTGACGCGAAATTACACGACATGATATAAAGTGCAGTTTGGTCCTGGACAGCCTCTTTTCGCAAGAGATCTAAGAAGCAAGTTGCCAAAGTAGAAAATTCATCAACCGGCCGTCTGTAGTATAAGGTATAATGGGTGGCAATAAACGCAGTGGTCATTGTATGCCCACCCAGATCCATTCGATGTTCATGATACGGGTTGAAAACGAGCTCTATACTCTTTTTTGTATGGAGAAAAGGACGGATACTGACCAGCGCTCTTGTATAGTGACAGAGCTTTTGAAGAGTGTCTGGGTAAGCGAGAACTCCAAGATGGTGCTGGATACGGCCCTCGCCGGGACTGAAATTAGCGCTTTGGTTATACCAATATCGCGCGGCTTCAGCCCAAACATCTTGGTCTCGGTCTTCAATGCCCATGCGACATCGTGCTAAGTCTCCAAGACACTCCATCCAAATATCACAAAACACTTCAAAGCTTTCGAGACATAGAGTCATCATCGAGTACGCAAGTTGGATGAACTCAATCAGAAAATCCAAGGAGTCCGGGAGATTTTCTAGAAGAAGATCTAGGAACAAATGAATACCGTATCTCCACATTCGTGCGGGCATTTGGTAATTCCCAGGAATTTCCCGCAACTCGGAACCGGAGATGGGACTTTGGGATGCAAGAAGGAAGTCGTAATGCATGTAAAGTAGTGTTCGATGGAAAGATATCAATTGTTTCCACAGGTTGGATGATAATTTGATTTTAGATCCAGTATGTTGCTTGTCGACATTAATGCATACTTTTTCCACCATGACCAACTGAGCATAAATAACCCGGAACTGCGCTATGACCTGGTCTTCTGTAACTTCGGTTGGTCGTGGCCGTTCAAATATGCCCAGTGCGTCCAAGTACTGTGGCGCCGCGAATAGCTTCTTCGAGGAATTGGCTGAGTATGAGCCATCACACTCATGATCGGACTTACTTCCCGATTTATATGCAGTGAGTGGCTCATCGTTATCATCTGTTTTTGGTTGATTGAACACCAGTTCGGCCGCAAGAAATTCATTCAGCGTAGCGAATCCTTTCGTATCTTCCGTAACCGTATCGTTTAACCTTGGAATTCGGGTTAGTTAATCAGTTATGTGGATTTCTATGGCTCTAGCTGTTTGCCAGATGGGTAGCGGCATAAGGAATGAGAAAGTCAAAAAGGAGTAAACAGCGTACAACAAAGCAGAAGGGTGTGAATCACAAGCTGGGGGTATTAGGAATAGGAATGAACCATTTTTGTGTAGCCTTGGTTTTATTGACCCTCTGACATAGCAGGTCTACCTGATGGAATGAATTCATGGAAATGATCGTGCCTGGGGGCGGGGGCAACAAGAGACGCCTTATGAATGCTGTAGTGGCTGATGATGGTACTGGGGTGGCTTAGTACTGGAACACTTCTGCTCTGTTGAATCTCCGGGGTGAAGCGGTCATTTAAAAGTTGCTCGTTGTTCACCCGGGTTGTGGAATCCACTATGCAGTGTCTCAGGGGTGCCCAAACAGGCAGCCATCTGTCATCTGTATAGGGGTTTTAACTTTCAGGTATAAACCATTTCTATCAATACCCCAACCCCTGTTAACCAGATTGAGGCGATCGCTTAATTCTTCGTTGAGAACAAAGCGGACCACAATTTCACTCAATTTTCCTTACCATCACTGTTTGCATTTTCAAGGCGTAGATTACCTTATTTTTGGCGAGCTAGTCTTTATCAGGAGCATCTGGGACTCAGAAGCCCAGTCACTCACGGACTCACGTTGGCTATGAGGGGCACGTTGCTTCTTAAGACTCCTCGTCTAGATAACATAACGAAGACAAAAGCGTAAGACGAACTTTGGTATGTCCATTTTTTCCTTCTCTCTACAAATGGCTGCGGCTTCCTCCTCTACCGCTTGTCTCAATAATCGGCAAAAGGCTGGGTTGAAACAACGACGCCATCATCAGTTGGGTCGGCCTTCAAAAGGGAATTTGAAAGCTAGATCCACCTCATCCAAGATGCCTCTTCCGTTCTCTCCTATTGCTCCCCCAGTATACAACATGTTCCGCGAGAGACTGTACTTCTTCTTCCACAAAACTATTGAGCGACCTCCACAGTGTGTATCCCACTTGTATTCCATTGAGGTGTCGTTCTCCGAGAAGCTGATCGTATGCGGGTCCTCATTGATATCCATGTACGGAAGTGCGCAGTTGGACTGGATATCTCTGTACGAGTCGTTCCAGCCGACCTCAAGTGAGAATTTCCCCATAGTGCACATATACTCGGACCACTGAGTGTCCCGCTGAAATTGATAAGTTTGGAGTGTCAAGTCTGCCACTCCCATTGACCACATGGCTGCCTCGCCCGCCTCAGTCGCCCGACGACGGTCGTTGCCCTTCTGAAGCTGAATCAAAGGATCAAATAGCTCCTCGGCTCTCTCAAAACTTGCTATCCTCTCAGGTTGACGTCGATCTGGGGGAATTAACAGGATCCATATCTTAGGCGGGAGTATGATTTCGTCGTTGGCCTCCACCTCGGCAATCCAACCGCTCCAGTAAGTCCCCGGAAGTTGAATTCTCTCCATCAAGTCCAGGATATCGTTGCCTAGAATTAATATCCGACAGCCCTTCTCGATGAATGATTCGAAAACAGCCATGGATGGGTCGATATCTCTGAGAGGATTTAAATACTTGTTGGCGTAAAGAAATTGCTCCGTGATTCCGAGAAAGTGCACTATCAGGGCAATTTCACTTGCTGTCAGCCCACTCAGCAACATGTCGGAGAGTCCGTAGTAGTCGCTATTTGTTGTAATGGATTCGAATAGAGAAGCGAGTACGTTGCGGTATGTTCGGGGTATTGGGTACTTGAATACCCATGCTTCTAGCTTCATATCTGTGGCCTGCGGAGTGATAAGGGATTCTATCCGGGCTTTAAGTGTCTGCAGCCAAGGGAAATTGGAAGGCTACATACTCCTGTGTTCTGAGCTTAGAGATGGGGTTTTCTGAGGGCATGAAATTGACCATTCAGTATTATCGGAGGGAGAATATATGCTTTTATATGTGGAAAGCTGGAAAGCTTGATTTGCCTTTCGCGCATCCCTATGCCTTGCTACACCCCCCCCGGGACATTGCTCGCGAATTCAAAGGCCATGTTAGAGCACACTTGCCCTCAGCCTGTCACAAATAATGCTGGTGTACTCTGCAATAATGCTCAATAATCTTTTGGGGACCCTTTATACTCTGCATGTATTGTGCAAGTTATTCGTCATAAATGACATAATAGTAAGGCTCGCAAATGGTTCCGCGAGAGGGACTTCAGATATTGTGCTTCTATTGTGCCCGTCTAGATGATATGCGCGCTATTCAGGACGTTCATTAATCACCTGCCCTTTTTGTCAAAAGTATCAGGCTGAAATCTGGATCACATGGCGGAACGAATCCCGCGCCAATGATAAATCACACGTGACTGAGACCACGTCCAGCCCCGCTCGTGGCCACAGTTTCGGCAAAATCTCGGTCTTGGCCGCAGTGAGAGACGAAGTTTCCATACTGATAACCCCTTACGACCAACATCTCGGAATCTGTAGGTAGCCTTGAGGGGAGGGAGGGGATTTGGTATCCGGGGCTTGGGTATTGGCCATGGAAAATGACCACGCCGGCATTGCCTAATATTGATTTCAAGGCATTCTGATTCCGGACCGGTGTATCACTGCTGAGAATGAAGAGGGCTATAGGAGCCCTAGCGATGCTGGCTCCGGGATTTAATCTGGGATTAGTTACCCTGCAATAGCATATTTTGCAAGATATCTGAGCTGTATCGTAAAGCTGACGGGATCTAGCTATATTTAATCCAAAAATACCACGTATTATGCTGTTTCTAAATTTCACATATCCCATCGGAGTCTAGAACATAGCTTGGTCCTCAAAGTCTATAGTTTACGCAACGGGGCCTCGGTCAACACAGCAAGTTCATGTCCGTCTCTTTCCTTTTCCAGGTATGACCCCTGCATGCAGGCGGGTCTGGTATGGGCTTTGCATCCTTGTCCTTGAACCTTGCACTGGAAGGATAGATCTAATCATCCATCCATCTATTCGCTGTACGGACGGTGCCTCATTCTGACTAAATGCATGCATTGGCAGTTGGCAGGAAACATTTAATAAGCCATTCATGCTTATTTCAATAAGAATGTCATTAGTCGACGGGAAACGGCGCTTAACGCCCCAGATGTACTAATCCAGAGTGTGAAGATAATGGACTGCGTCTTGATCACTCGGCAAGCTTTGAATTTGCGACACCAACTGTAATATCTCTTCGGGTGTTGTGGACCGAAGCTTCGCAGCCAGTCGACAGAGAGCAGCATGAGAATCTAACAGCCTGGCGGTATATTCCTTGCGTCGGCGATCGCCGCTTTGATTGTATAGACACTGGCAGCCTTCGGTTGCACACCTTGTGCATGGCATCGTTCCAGAGCACTGTATGAGAGTGTGTGTATTAGCTCTGTCCTCCAACCTGGGAATAGCCGGGATGGTGACCTTGGTCTTCTTTTCCTGGCACTCTGTACAAGCAAGAGAAATGTTGCGCCGAGTTTTTTCCTTCACCTCAGACTCTGTCTCCTCCGTTTCGTTCGCAGGCAAAAGTGGTCGAAAATCCTTGTTCTTCGACATTGCAAACTTTGAAGGCTGAACAAACATATTACCAAACTCTACACAAGCCTCTCCGCTGATGTGTGCATCATTTATGATGACGCTTCGCCTATTTTGAGCATTCTTGTATCGAAAACTCGCGACAATATCTGGGATTATTAGAAACAGATGGATAGTTTCAAGTAAACATGAATACCTTGAAGGGCCTTATCTTTCTCTATATTGTCGCCCTGTTGTAATTCGATGCTGGATGATAATGCTGATAGTCGATGGAGTTCAAAGGCATTCATAGATTGTTCCTGTTGACTTTGGCCCTCGGATCCTCTCACGGGATCATTTCTGGTGATCTCAGCTAGGACCATTTCATCTTTCTTGCCCTCAGAGAGAGGAGAGGAGAGAGGAGAATTCATTTTGCTAAGGTCGCGTCTCATCGTACTGAGGTGAAAGGTTTAAGTAGGACCAACGTCTGAAGTGCCGAGAGTGGTATGATAGAGAGACTGTAGGGTTTTTACACGGTCGAAATCTCACCAGGATATAGTTATTTATTATTGCGGAGTCAGCTAAAAATAGTGATCATGTAGCCGAGGCAGTCGCAGGATGGATTGGCCCAGATTTTGAAGTTAACATTATCCATTATAGGTCGCGGCTCACGGAAGAGATTTCCTGATCAGCGAGCCAGGCTCATTGGTTGCCCGTATTAAATGTACCGGTCTGCTATGAACAAAATAGTCTCTACCTTCCGTGAAACTATCCTCATCCCCCACAGTGTGCCACAAACGTCCACTCACACCAACGTAGTGGTTGCCGAGCACTGAGTCTCGATTTCTGTAATAATACCAGGAATATGCTCCCAACCTCTTGCGCTCACCACCTCTATGCGGCCATTTGGCAAAGCCGCAATCCTAATTGAAAATGCCCTGTGGGCTCAGTCAAATTCAGATCAAGAGAAGGCAAGATACTTACAAATATGAGCGAGAAGATACGTATTGGCCGAGTGGTAGGGGGCTTTCACAGAGTTCTCTATCAGTGGTGAGATGCATAGAAACTTTGGAAAACGTACTGATGTATAACGATAAGTTTCAAAATACCCATTCTTGCGTCCATCAGAATTTCTTGGGCCATTGAGGGTTGTTGCAGTGTTGGCCCATGGATAGACATTAGAGACTCTTCCCGGAATTCACAACAGGTCACGGCTATATTGTGTCTAGGCCAATGTCAGATTATTTCTTGTCGGCTTTACTCAGTGCTTACAGCGGCAGTCCTTGCGGCGAATATGACCGCCATTCAACGAAAATGTTGCCCGTCAAGTCTGCGAAGCGCTCAATAGCATTCTGTTCCACATCGATGATCGGCCTGATTGATGCTAGCGGAACTAGAGGTGAGTCGTTATGACATCAAGGGAGTGAGAGTACCATAGACAATGGTGTCCCCTTCGAGATGGCATATAATGGCGAGGAAATTTCTTACAGAATCCGCGAGCATGCAAGGTCCCATTAAGGCAATTTTGGTACTTGTCGAAAGCGTCGAGGATATTCTTCATGCAATTCCGGTATGCAGATGAATTGTGAAGGCGAGGTACATTTTGTGCTGCTGCCTCCAAGGTGTTTTTGGGATACACTATTAACCTCCCGCAGAGTAGCTGCTGGAGAAGCGTGACTCTAGCTGCGCCACATCAGCTTGAACGAAGAAAGAGACGGATGTCTTACCGTCCTTCACCATACAGCGAGGGCTCATGAAGGTTATAGTGGCAGGCCACCATACCGGGATTGGACCATGATAGTCCAACTGCGGTTGAATCAGCCTGATCCACGTAACCGCCAATCCTCCAAGAATCTCGCTAGTAAATTGATTCAGCCAGGCTCTATAAAACGCATCTGGGGCGGGGAGTGTGAGCATTGTTCCAGTAACTTCTCGCCGTGGTATGCTATCTGCGAAGGAGATGCGGAGGAGATGCGGTCGTAGTAAAAGGGCTGATGGTGTTAAAATGTACGACGGCTTATCTTGGATACGCTGAGTGGCATTTCCAACATTTGGCTGACAGAGAGGAGGAGCCTGTCATTCCACCACCATTAGTACTTATACCTTTAAACTTGTTTCATAATAGTGATAATAGTGCTTGTGCGGCTCGTGGTAAACCGTCTGTGGCAACTTGCTATAGCCTATGAGGTTATCACCGACCCAAATTGGGGCAGAATTGCTGCCAAGATATTGCACGTGATTGCCCCGCATCTGGCCGTGGGATTCGAGACATTCCAGAGAAGACAGGCATCAAATCGCCAATATGGTATGTGTCCCACTAACTAAATCTGGAGGATCCATCAGCTAATGTATATGCCATCAATGCCGACAGATGGGGCAACACCGTCCTCCAGCCAGGCAGAGGGGAGTGCATGGCCCTTATCTCCTTACTCAAGCTGCTGATGTGGCACGACAACGACTGACCAAGTGGGCTCGTGAGGATGCCACTTCACCTAACGATTTCACCGTTGATGAACAGGGCGATCGAACCTATCGAACACCTAGTTTGGAGCTCTTGGTGGGCCCTCTCTTGCGGGAGTTGAACCTGGCAGTATGGCATGACAGTCAAATAGTTAACTTATCGAGCCGTGTTGACTAAGTTAGGGATGTAATTACACGATGCATCGAGAATCTGACATCAGACTCATTCCCGTCAATCATGAAACCTACGTCGTGCCTATAAATGTCGTCACCGGTTTCCCTCGCATTCGGGATCTGGCCCACAATAACGAAACACTTAAAGTGGGATATTACTTTAGGCTGTCCGATGATGTCCTTCTCTGTCCCGCAGCCGATTATCTGGTGGTGGAAAAAACCACAGCGCGCAATTAAGCGTGTTGTCAACCGAACCCGGGGAGAATATACGGCTCGACGTGATGTTGATCAAGGGGCATGGTAATTTGTACTTCATTGCCAGCCAATAAATGATGTAAAGATGCTGTGAAAGGCGTTGAGATGCATTGTACCGTGTAAGTTGGGATCGGTCCGTAACCCAAGGCCTTGCAGATGTCTACTAGCCTGTAACGGGATGGTAAGCTGGGCCTATCCACGCGAATATAAGGGTCGGTCTTACTGGACGGTATACCCTGTGAGGTGGTGCACGATACAGGGAAGGCAATACGGCATCCACCCGGGTTCCCAGGGAGGGATCTCTGCCCTCCCCAACCGGTCGGCCACAGTGAAGTAACCGTCTGCGTCGTGGGCGGCAAACCGGCCAAATTGTGCCGGAGTTCGGCTCACTAACACAAATATTCGTCAGCGCGTGTTTCTGGACCGACGGCGAAAATACATGCCAAGGAAGAAGATTTCCCAGCTTTCATGTCCCCACCCATTTTCCAATAGGGCTGCCATGCATCGATTGGCCCAAATGACACCATTCCGATCCTTTTCCAAGGTCAGATCGTCTTTTTTCTCGCCGGTGTACCGTCTCATCATATCGTTGGTTGCTTTCTTCGATACGCCTGCTCGCAGCATGACCACGCAGTAAGAGCAGAAAACTAGTTTCTGAAATGCCACTACCAGTACCGCAAACTCGTTGTCCTTGTCACAATCAGCGATGAATTTGCCATACTGACATCCCCTCATGACTAGGATCTCGGGCTCGGCGGGAGAGATCGGCGGCAGCTCCGTTGTTTAATATCCAGTTGGTACAACGGTAACTTCACCATGAGCCAGTATGCGTTTTAGGGCAGTCTGGTTCTTGGTTTGTTCCTGGGTTGTTGTGTGACTACCCGCTTCCCACCTAGCTTGCTCCCGCTGTGTTGCGGCCAGAACGCCCTCCACGAATCTGTCGAACTGCCTCTCGATCTTCATCTTCCATTTCGGTATTTTTCCATGGCGCGAATGATGTTGTTTTTGTGTGATCCCTGGTGTGCATTCGATAAACTGGATGCCGCTGGCGGTCGGTTCGTCGGTGTTTATGGGAATGGATTTGGAAAGACTAGTCTCATCAGGGCTCAAGTGCAGTCTTCCGCTCAGTTGTTTCTCGAGGTAGTCGATGCGTTTTTCGAGGTAGTCAATGTACGCAGTATCAGGCCCTCGAAATTTGAACTTTCGTTCCTTTCGTTCCGACATCGTGGAACAGGTCATGGTGGGTTCAAATTGATCTCGGTGGGTGAGCCTCCCTTTATGTCTGTAAGAGGCAAGTGCCCGGGCACTTGCCTCTTACAGACATAAAGGGAGGTACGGATAAGAAATGCAATGATAGTTTCAACCCATACCTGAATTGGTATGCACTCTGGAAGACTGGCGAGTGAGATGGTTTATTTGTCAGATTAATCGCTACGACTGCTTGTTTCGGTTGGACCATCTTCACAACCGCGTTGTATATGTGGGTCATTCGTGGCCCAAATTTTCCTTCGTGGGCGGTCATAGAACTGAACAATGAGCGTTGGTCTACGACCGAATCCAGCTTCCTGACACTATTGACTTTTCTAATTTACGGTTGCTCTGGTTTTGGCTCGCAATTTCCCGCCTCTGCTCCGGTCATGCACCACAAACGTTCACAAGCAGTACTATGCACACCAGACTACGTATGTTATCGGATATAAGTAGGATTAGACCCTTCAAAGTCAAAATGCCGTTCATTCTTGTCACCATTATGGCACACAAGAGAGTTATTCATACAATGGGCAGAAATCACATTTTGTGTCTTTCTATTTCCGGGATATGAAATGAGCTCATCACTCTACACTGCCGCACTAGGAATAGAAAGGGCCTGTTTTAGAATGCTATCCACCTCCAGCCTGATTGGTAAATCATATCGCTTCTCGCATTATGGACTCCCACGGATTTCAGTCTACGCTCCTATACCTGTTTCGGAGATATGCCACCAGTCCGTGTGGACAAAATACCAAATATCTCTTACCACTTTCAGCTGATACTATGCTGATCGTAGAGGCTTACCGAAATGCCTCATACAAGCAGTAATGGAGCTGGAGCTGAAGGTTTGTACTGTCCATGTCCCTTGGACCGGTGGTTTGCCATCTGATTTCTCCCTGCAGCCCAGACACAAAGATGATCGACGGATAGTACGGTCCCTGAGACGTCGTGCATGGCGCCATCTTTCTGGGGAAAGGCCCGGTCGAACTGGCCGTCGAGCCATATGGAATACATCGGGTCAGCCAACGATTCACCAAGATTACCCACCTACGACTATCAGGTAGCGACTTACTATTCTCCATGGAAGACAAACTTACTTATGCACAAACCTCGTTTGAGGTAGTGACACTGCAACGAAACCAAACAACGACCTTCTCGCATGGGACAATTGACTTGTTAATTGTTTATAACCAACTTCACCCACTTTGATACATTGATTGTACATTATCAAAAAAATGTCAGCACAAGAAATGATATCAGGAATGGGGAGTCGGTCTGCTGGTTTCCGATGCCGGAAAACGTGAGCTACAGTACACCTAGCACGCACTTGAGTTTCTCAAAGATTCCTCCACTATAGTCTCTTCTGTAAGGACTTCCGACACTTCGTAAGTAGTACCGCTTTGAGCAAACGATGCATTGTTACGATGCAGATATTTGTATCTGCGACGAAACTCGACATATCGACTCTCGCTGCAAATGGAACCACAATTTCCGCAGCTGCAACCCGACACATCTTCCTCCCCAGCAAAGAGCAATTCTATAGACTCCAACGCCCCCCATAGCTGATTTTCTGTGACCGGATTCTGGAAAACAGCCGATCCCCGCAGTTGGTGACACATCTCCTTGATCAATTGTCGCTCAGGATCCATCAGCAACGATCTCAGTGGAACATGGTCAGTCGCGGTCGGAATGACTGATAAACTAACACAAACCAAGATCAAGCTTCCTTTTTCTCTAATCAGGGAGTTGGGCAACTTTGAAGCGGGTCTCTGATCACAAAGTGCATTTAGGCCTTGCGCTGATATTTGCTCAATGCCACGGAGGAGGTGGTAAAGGTGGTCACGCAGTTGCTCGCACGATACCGTAGAATCGATGGCATTTTGCTGCGCCAGGTAATTGTGCAGTTTTTTCCAACCCCGCTGTGCATCCAAACAAATGTCTTGCCAACTTTGCTGTCTCATATCGGCCAGCGTCTCTAGGCCCACCCGTGGGTTCCACTCCTTTTCATCGCGCTGGATTAGATATTCCAGCTGCCGAGTATCGCCGATTGTTGCAGGCAGTGAGCACTCTAGGGAAATATAAGAGATTAAAACAAGCAGCTGCCGGAATGATAGTCGTGTGGGTATTACAGATGCAGCATCTGCGTAAGCTGGTCGGATCATCTTTCAGTATGACCTGGGATCGCAAGTGGGAAGTTCTGGGGCTAAATCAAGGGAGAAGGTTAGAGGGATGTGAGAGAGAAAAGCACTCCATTTTATAGGTCTCCGTATTGTGCACGTTGCTAGCCGCGTCTTTCAGCCTATAACCCCCTCCCTCTGGATTCTGCCTTCCCTAGAGTATATCGAACCGAGTTCGCCTTTTGGATGGACTGGGGATTCATTGTGCCTACGAATTTTGTGGTTAAGTTGTCGGACGACAGTTGAATATTGTCCACCTACTATCACGTAGCAAAACGTTGAGAGCTAGTTTCCTGTAGAATGAGCGTGTTGGATGCCTATAACAACGGATGCTTTTGCAGCCAAACAGAGGCACAAGCTGACTGACAGAGCTTTTGTAAATCTCTTTAACAGAGTGGCCATGTTTATGGCAGGTTTAGAGGTCCTCTGATTTTCCTTTCGTCTTCGTCCAGTGTTGGAACCACGAACCTTCCGCCCGCGTTGTCACTCTTTGCTTGGAGTTTGAAAATGCATTGCTGATGTCTGACTCTTCAACCGGAGGGGTACGATTGTAGTAATTATTCGCCAATTCTGATTGCGTAAATATGACCGCTCTGGGTGGAATTCGGATCGGATCGGGAAGGATAAGAATATCGGTCGATCCTGAGCGCCGAGTTGGTTCAATGTGGCCTAGGTCACTTTCGTTATCTTTGCAGTTTCAGCATATACGTAGTGGCCCGAGGGGTTTAGTAACAACGTGGTTAATAATCCAGTATTAATAATAATAGTAAGCATATAGATATATAATATATTATAAATAGTATTTAAGCTAGTATTATAATTTATAAACTAGTTTTAAGGTTGTGGTATGGTTATAAAATAGTTATAATAGTTATAATATAGTTATAGTAAGGTTATAAAATAGTTATAAAAGATAATTAATA